GTGATGTGTGACTATAGAGGGGGAGACGAAAGTATGGGTGGAGGTGGTGGAGATGTTGAGATGGTTCGCCGGTCGACAGATCCGAAATGTTTCATCCGTGGCCGGGAACATCGTGACCAGCAGCCCCATCTCCGACCTCAATCCTCTCTTTCAAGCCGTCCAGTCCCGCATCTTCCTTCAGAGCTCAGGTACAGTTGTTCCTCTATCAGAAATCTTCACATCCGACACAGGGCTTCCCTTACAAAACGTCCACCCCCTATCCACCTGGTTGTTTGACATGGTGGATAGGGGGTGGACGTTTTGTAAGGGTTCCGTCCCGGAGTCTCTCATGCTTACTTTTGACTCCTCTGTTCCACATGAAAGAGCTTATATTACGCGTGCATTGCATCCACCGCTCGCTCCTATTCATCATTCCTATATCATATGGCATCACGAAAGACGCCCTTCGCAATGATTTAAAGGAAAGATCAAATTTCTGTAGTTGTTGAATCCTCTGTTCGGGTTGGAGTGCATACGCTGACTTTATATTGTTTACAACAATACGATCTGAATGCAGTCGACCAATTAGTCAAAATTTATATCAGTCAATGCTCTGACAGCTTTTGCGATTGCTCAAGAACTTTCGAAGCTCTAAGGTACGTTTCATCGTTTCTCATCGGCTATATTGCGTTGATACTAAACGGAATATCTTGCGTTTCCATTGGCCACGACTCTTGGGAAAGCAAATGAATTTAGGGCTGTAGTTGGCAAAGATAGTTAGGTTGTAAAATTTCTTCCCCCGCCATTTCACTCTTTGGGCCTAGGGGTAAAGCGTGAGAAAGCGAAAGACTTGATGGGTTTAAGAGGAAAGGCAGTGCGAAACCTAGGGCATGGCAGGAGCCACAGTCAATTCGGCACGTTTTCCTCGTTCCCCATCGGTCGAACCCAGGTAGGTTTACCTGCTTTCAACAAAATGCCAAACCCCTTTAAGTCCATCATGTCAGGAAGACAAATGAGAAACCGGAAAAGTCACTCGTTCTTGCTGGAAAGGCTAATTTGACTCAGACACCTGCCCTACCATGTTGGGCCTGTCGTGGTAATGTTTGTTCAAATTGGCACGTTGTAATGTTTCAAATCGGCTGCGTATCATCCACGAGGATTCAATCGCAAGGAAACTATGTAATGATAGCAGTGAGATGAGAAATGTGGGCGTTTGGACAACCGAAAGTGAAAATCTTAACAGTAGAATCAAACATTTTCTCACGTTGCAACGATGAACAAAATAGGAGTTCCAATCTCTGTTGTTCATGAGAGAATTTCATAGTTCCACTGGCTGCTGAACCGTTCACAATCTTTGCTGACGAATCCAACGTAGCTTGGACGACTGTTGTCATTATATATCATATCGATAAGAAGTTGATCCTCTTGGAAATTTAGAGGGTGGTCGAGAGGTACAGATAGATGAGAACTTCTTTACCGGGTACCGGAGGAACATCATCCGACCGGAAGAGATCCTGGTGTGGATCGAGATCCCTACCACGTCCCCTGATGAAGTATTCAAAGGATACAAACAGGCCCGGCGAAGAGAGGACGACATCGCTATCGTCAATGCTGGAATGTTCGTCCAATTCCATCCTGGGTCGAGAAAGGTCAAGGACATCCGTCTATCATTTGGTGGAATGGCTCCGT